CTGTCTTCAGAACGTCCTCTTGTTAGTACAATGTCACTCTGTTTACGAGATGTCTTCTTGGCACTCGGCAAGTCTCCAGAAGAGTACTTGGTCCAGATCTGCAAACTGGAAATCTTCTTGGCAGTCGTCCTGCCTCTGAGGGAATTTTAGGCCCACTTCTGTCTTCTTAGTAACGTCCTCTTAGTAAAATACTACTCTGTTTTCGAGATGTCTCCTTGGCAGTCAAAGTCTCCAGAAGAGTACTTGGTCCAGATGTGACTCTGGGATATATTCTTGGCAGTCGTCCTGCCTCTAAGGGAATTCAAAGTCCATTTTATTCTTCTGAACGTCTTCTTATTACTAAAATGCCAATCTGTTTACGAGATGTCTTCTTGGCAGTCGGCAAGTCTCCAGAAGAGTACTATGTCCAGATGTGCATATGGGATATATTCTTGGCAGTCGTGCTGCCTCTAAGGGTATTCAAGGTCCACTTCTGTCTTCTGATCATCTTCTTTGTAGTATAATGCAAGTGTATTCAGAAGATGTCTTCTTGGCTGTCGGGAAGTCTCCAGAAGAGTACTTGGTCAAGATATGCCTATGGGACATCTTCTTCGCAGTCTTCCCGTATCTAAGGGAAGTCAAGGTCCACTTCTGTCTTCTGAACATCTTCTTAGTAGTATAATGCAAGTATGTTTACAATATGTCTTCATTGCAGTCGGCAAGTCTCCAGAAGAGTACGTGTTCCTGATGTGCCTATGGGATATCTTCTTGGCTGACGTCCAGCCTCTGAGGGAATTCAAAGTCTGCTTCTGTGTTCTGAACGTCCTCTTAGTCTTCACTGTTTTCGAACGGCAAGTCCCAAGAAGAGTACTCCAGATGTGCCTCTCGGATAAAATGTCCTGCTTTGTGATAGAATTCAATGTCCATTTCAGACTTCTGAACGTCTTCTTGGCAGTCGGCAAGCCTCCATAAGAGTGCTTGATCCAGATGTTGATATCCTCTGGGATATCTTCTTGGCAGTAGTCTTGCCTGTGATGGAATTAAAAGTCCACTTATGTCTTCTGAACGTCTTCTTAGTAGTATAATGCAAGTCTGTTTACAAGATGTCTTCTTGGCAGCCGGCAAGTCTCCAGAAGTGTACCTGGTCCGGATGTGCCTATGGGATATATTCTTTGCTGTCACCCTGTCTGTGATGGAATTCAAAGACCAATGCTGTCTTCTGAACGTCGTCTTAGTAGTAAAACGCCACTCTGTTTACGAGATGTCTTCATTGCAGTCGGCAAGTCTCCAGAAGAGTACTTTTTCTGGTTATGTCTATTGGATATCATCTTGGCAGTCGTCCTTCGTCTGAGGGAATTCAACATCCACTTGTATCTTCTGAACGTCCTTTTAGTAGTACAATGTCGCCCTTTTGATGAGATGTCTTCTTGGCAGTCGGCAAGCCTCCAAAAGAGTATTTGGTCCAGATTTGCAAATGGGAAATCTTCCCGGCAGTTAGCAAGCCAGCAGAAGAGTGCTTGATGCAGATGTGCCTCTAGGATATCTTCTTGGCAGTCGTCCTGCCTGTGAGGGAATTTAAAGTCCATTTCTGTCTTCTGAACGTATTCTTAGTAGTAAAATGTCACTCTGTTTACGAGATGTCTTCTTGGCAGTAGGCAAGCCTTTAGAATTGTACTTGGTCCAGATATGCCTGTGGGATATCTTCTTGGCAGTCGTCCTGCCTGTGATGGAATTAAAAGTCCACGTATGTCTTCTGAACGTCTTCTTAGTAGTATAATGCAAGTCTGTTTACAAGATGTCTTCTTGGGAGTCGGCAAGCTTCCAGAAGAGTACTCATGTACCCATGTGTGGAATCGAATTGGTCTTTGGCGTGACGAGCGAACGCTTTGACCACGAGGCTACCCCACCGCCCCCATTTGGAAAGGATCCGTGTAGATCCGGGAGTGAATTGTCTTCAGCCTACCACGCTTATGCTTATAGCATAGACTGACGCTCGTGTGCAGCGGATGAAGACGTTTATCCCATTAAGATACCACAATATGATTAACATAGCTACACCACTCACAGCATATATACCGACTTCAATACGAACGTTTAAAGTCTTTTGTGCAAGTGACTGTTGTTTCACACTGCACTCGGCAATATGCAAGCTATTTGGCACTAACTTGAGCAAGGACCCGTGAAGATCCGGGTTAGAATTGATCCTCAGTAACCCATGCTTGTCGTAAGAGGCGACTAACGGGATCGGGTGGTCAGGATCGCTGACTTGGCTGACACATGACATCGTATCCCAACTGCGTAGATCGATGCTCATGCTGTTTATGCTCAATTATTTACAGACCACTGCCATATAGCTAGAATATTGCTGAGTGCGGAGTAAAATTAAACTCACTCACTGACTTGGGCAATGCATATCATAGTTCAGTTAAGCGATGATCATGATGTAAATCACTAGATTGACGCGATTATTCACAGGTGAGGTGAGGTGAAATTGGGTTTAACGTCGTGCTTGAGAATATTTCGCTCATATGACGACGTGCATGCGTGTGTATGTGTATGTGCGGCTGCTTGTACTAGCCCTGACTTAAGCTGGTTTTATAGTGCTAGCCCACTGAGATATCATGCCGCAGTTTCAGCATGAATACCCCACTCAGACACATTATACTGACTCCGAGCCGACCAGTCCTTGTTGAACCATTAATGCCGAGCGCCAGACAGGGACCAACAAGTACCATATTTTAACGTCTTATGGTATGACGCGGTCGGGGATCGAACCCGCAACCTTCCGCTCTCCGGGCGGACGCTCTAACCACTACACCACGGAGACGGTCGATTATTCACAGAACGTTGTTACATAGCAATAATTTTGCTGGGTGGAGCGTTAAACAACAACAACAACAACAACAACAACAAAAAGGTCTACATTTAAGGTATGAGACAACTCATAAAACAATAATTGTGATCTATAAAAGCCGTATGCTACAACATCATTCGTGACCAACTGTTATTCAGGGCCAAGCCGAATAGCGACTATTGCCCGTCTGGAAGGATTTCATCTTTCGTTACCAACTCCTGGCGCGCACGTAAAATAACTGTATCTGCGACCGTCTACTCCCACAATTCTATTCTATCTATTGCAAAGCATCGGAGGCAAGGCCTCAGCAATAAGGGAAGCACTTCATCAAATCCAAACAACAAAATGTACACACTGGGCACAACAAATCCAACCAAACAAAATAAATACACAGTTTCATATTTGCATTGAGCAATAAACGCACAGTTTGTTAACCCTCTGTTCCGGTACAGTTTGATCGGATATCCTCCTAAGCCCAGGCACCCTGGCCGATGTGCTCTCACCCGTGGCAGTACGATCACGCAAACTGAGTACCCGGATGTACCGATCTTGGGATGCAGTGGTGACTCTAGGTCTGCCTGTATGAAGAGGGTCATTTGTTATACCTGTTTAGTTTTAAGGAGATGCAAGTCGTGATATCGTGCTCAGCCTAATATTCAGACGCCTGGCAACAGAAGATTGATAATCTCCAGCGTGGATTTTTTCAATGGCGATGTTCCGTGTCGCAGCGTCAAGACGTGGCGTAGTGATTTGACCTTGAAACTCCTTCAAAACAAATGCCAATTTCCGAAAGTAATCTGGATTTTTATAGTCAGCCAGTGCATGCTCTTTGCTGCACAAATTCAACTGGAAGGTGTTTGCTGTTACGTTGTGGCGGTGCATTTTTAATCCTTGTAAAAAATCTCATAAAAAAATCAACATTTTCAGGTAAAGTCGATTTTCTACTTGTGCAATTGTGTAAAATCATGTTATCAATACGTTTGTTACATATTTTGACGATTGTCTGAACACAATAGGTAATTAATACATTTAAAAAAAATACAAAACGTCTATGCGTTTCTTTTTTTGGATAGTATATATGTAACGGTGTTCCACAACCCTAGGCCATACAAGCAATCAGCACCGTTCATAATCAGCATACCATACGTGGATACAACCAACCATCATATCCACAATAACTAAAGAAGCAAGCCAACATAGAAAGCGTCCAAAGGGATCAGGTGGTCAGGCTCGCTGACTTGGTTGACACATGTCATCGTATCCCAACTGCGTAGATCGATGCTCATGCTGTTGATCACTGGATTGTCTGGTCCAGACTCGGTTATTTACAGACGGACGCCATATAGCTAGAATATTGTTGAGGGCTGCGTAAAACTCACTCACTCACTTTCCCATACTCAGCGTGGAGTAGCAATTTTGATCAAAGAAAACAAATGATCATATATGTCCCTGCCACTGTTATGCACTTCATGCACTGTCATCGGTAACCCATACTGATGCATCACTCCTTTGTGTGAAACGTGAAACACTTGGAATTTTATGCTGCATCAACATCATTCTAGCAATAAAGCGACAAGGGTAAGTGGGTTTTGTTTTTCATTTTTATCATAAATACAAAATTGGATTCAGTATAAATTCACAGAAAATTGTTAACAGTGAGTTCAGGTGAATAGTATTTTAGAGGTGTTTTCTGAGAGAAGTTAACGGAGTTAATTAGGTCCTATATGGAGGGAAAACAATGTTTCATATATAACTTATGAGTAGAATCAGTATGAAAGTTATTATGTTTATACATAGTGACACCAACTACTGAACTGATGTGATGTAGGAACACTGAAGTATACTACAAAAGTTATAATGTCTGAAACTGCTATCTTAATCTAATACATAGGCAATAAAGATTCAAACTATCGTTCAGATACAATGAGGTTTGTAATTGATTTATTGCGGAAGAAAAGTACCCCACAAATACCATTAAATTTGATATGCAATCAATATAACTGGTTGACGTTTCAAGCTAAGTATTGATTGGGAGCAGGACAATTGCCACCCGGACAATTACCACCTAAGACAATTGCCACCCAGGACAATTGCCACCCAGTTATGTTTACTGCAAAAGTAAGGACAGTTGCCATCCAATATTTATATGTGATTTTATTTGAGAAAAATGAATGCGGTAAGGGTGTAACGATGCATCGAACTATCGATTGATCGCGATTGTGAGCGCCCCGATAGTACTTTATCGATAGGTGTATGAAATGACGATCCAAGCCATCGATAGTTGCATCAACTATCGATACATCAACTATCGATACTATCGCTATATTTGTTTTATAAATAACGGTAACTTGGAATCATGTTTTGTCCAACAGTCCTACTTCCGATAGGGATTAATCTCCATTTGTGTAAGCGACAGCATTTTGTGGTGATATAAGGGGGGATCTAGAGTTACCCTCCTTACCAAACTAGCAGCTCAAGCAGGTAGCAGGAAACAATACAAACAGATCAAGTGGGCAAGAAGCTTATATTGAAGTATGGTAGAAATACAACTAATTTGACTGATCATCTGCGTCGGAGGCCTAAGAGACAAACAGCCCTGCTAAATGACAACACTACGATACTTTCGTCGTCAGAACAAGCAAGAGGCATTTCGATCATTTCAGCTACCACTAGCAAATAGTTGAGAGGAAAAATAATCCAAACAGCCCTTTGTGAAAAGGACATTACAAATGCAGAAGATGTAATGTCTATCCCGACACTGTTGAAGACAGCAACAGTTTCACTTTGTGAAGAGAAAACCCCAACACTCGCCATCATACTCCCGCTTCAGATGCATCTATTGAACAACACAGTGACCATTCGAGAAGAAGACAATGTTTTCGTCAAACAGGTCAAGGAAGTTGTGTCCGTGGATTTGGAGCGGCGATATGCAGATACAAAAAGTCCTCATCACAGCAACTCTTCGTGATCCAAGGGTTCGAGACTGCCCCATTCCCTCAGGTTGATGAGAAACTCTCATCTTTCAAGTCCATGACCCTTGAAGCTATCAAACAGACTGAGGACAAACCTGTAGTGAAAGCAGAACCGGTCGAGCCTCAGCCAACATTGCCATCTCTCGTTGATGATGATAACGAGATCCCTGTATATTTTGAGGAGAAAAATCAAACTTGAAGAATCTTCTGGAGAATCTCCAGAGTCCATGGATGACTGTAGTACCAATGCTATGTCAAATCTGTTTGGGAATGTATACATACATGTCTTCAAATGTGATTTTCGTAAATCAACCTTGGATAGAGTTGAAGAAAAAGTTGCCAAATACAAAAAGACAGCAACTACCTCATTATCAGCCAACCCATTGTTGTGGTGGAACAACACCAGTGAGATTTTCCCATTCTTGCACGTCTGGAGAAGAAATATACTCATGCCAATAATGGTTGTCACCCCCCCACCCCACCCTACACACACCTCACTTCACCCCTCTCCAATTAAAAAATTGAAGGGGTGACAACCATTATTGGCATGAGTATATTTATTCTCCAGACGAGCAAGAATGGGAAAGTCTCACTTGTGTTTTCCACAGCTGGAGACATCATTACAGCAGTACTGCTCTTAAATCTGTACACGTGGACAGACTCTTGTTTCTAAAGAAGAATTGGAAATGTTCAGTGCACTGGATATATTTTTTCATCTTCATGTTGTTTAAACTTAAAATTGTCTACCTTTGAACTGTTTAATTTTCAACCTTTACACACAGTAAGTGTTTTCTATGGAAACTGAAAGGCGACCATTTGTTAAATATGTTACAGAGCCACAGAGCCAGTATTTTTTATTTAATTGGTATGTTATTTTGCATATGAGTTGTGGCGATCAAAGTGTCTGCAAACCACATTTTTGTAATAAATATTATTAAATCCTGTGTGCATTTGTTTGCTTGTTGCGGAACTGTTTGATACTAAATCATGTTCTTCAAGAAGTCATCATGGCAACTTGAGAAGTACTGACCTGAAAAGTACTGACTGAAAGGAATAAACAACTGAACACATTTTATGGTTAAATAGTTTAATGTAGAAGCAGTTGGTAGAAAATGGTAATTTATCCGAAGTTTAAATTTTGTCTGAACTATCGCAATAGTTATCGCAATAGTCTATCGACATCGCAATAGTAGCATGCAATAGTCTATCAACATCGCCATAGTAGCATGCAATAGTCTATTGACATCACAATAGTAGCATGCAATAGTCTATCGACATAGCAATGGTAGCTTGCAATAGTCATTCGACAAAGCAATAGTAGCATGCAATAGTCTATTGACATCGCCATAGCAGCGTGCAATAGTCTATCGACATCACAATAGTAGAGTGCAATAGTCTATTGACATCGCCATAGTAGCATGCAATAGTCTATTGACATCACAATAGTAGCATGCACTAGTCTATTGACATCACAATAGTAGCATGCAATAGTCTATTGACATCACAATAGTAGCGTGCAATAGTCTATTGACATCACAATAGTAGCATGCAATAGTCTATTGACATCACAATAGTAGCATGCAATAGTCTATCAAAAATCAATAGTCTATCAAAATCACAATAGTAGCATGCAATAGTCTATCGACATAGCAATGGTGGCTTGCAATAGTCTATCAACATCACAATACTAGCATGCACTAGTCTATTGACATCGCAATAGTAGCATGCAATAGTCTATCAACATCACAATAGTAGAGTGCAATAGTCTATTGTCATCACAATAGTAGCATGCAATAGTCTATTAACATCACAATAGTAGCATGCAATAGTCTATTGACATCGCAATAGCAGCTTGCAATAGTCTATTAACATCACAATAGTAGCATGCATTAGTCTATTGACATCACAATAGTAGCATCTGTCGACATCGCAATAGCAGCGTGCAATAGTCTTTCAACATCACAATAGTAGAGTGCAATAGTCTATCAACATCACAATAGTAGCATGCAATAGTCTATTGACATCACAATAGTAGCATGCAATAGTCTATCAACATCACAATAGTAGCATGCAATAGTCTATCAACATCACAATTAGCATGCAATAGTCTATTGACATCACAATAGTAGCATGCAATAGTCTATAACATCACAATAGTAGCATGCAATAGTCTATCAACATCACAATAGTAGCATGCAATAGTCTATCGACATCACAATAGTAGCATGCAATAGTCTATCGACATCACAATAGTAGCATGCAATAGTCTATCGACATCACAATAGTAGCATGCAATAGTCTATTGACATCACAATAGTAGCATGCAATGGTCTATCGACATCGCAATAGTAGCATGCAATAGTCTATCTACATCACAATAGTAGCATGCAATAGTCTATCGACATCACAATAGTAGCATGCAATAGTCATTGACATCAAAGCAATAGTAGCATGCAATAGTCTATTGACATCGCAATAGCAGCGTGCAATAGTCTATCAACATCACAATAGTAGCATGCAATAGTCTATTGACATCGCAATAGTAGCATGCAATAGTCTATCAACATCACAATAGTAGCATGCAATAGTCTATTGACATCACAATAGTAGCATGCAATAGTCTATTGACATCACAATAGTAGCATGCAATAGTCTATTGACATCACAATAGCATGCAATAGCATGCAATAGTGCAATAGACATCACAATAGTAGCGTGCAATAGTCATGCAGCATGCAATAGTCTATCAACATCACAATACTAGCATGCAATAGTCTATTGACATCACAATAGTAGCATGCAATAGTCTATCAACATCACAATAGTAGCATGCAATAGTCTATCAACATCACAATAGTAGCATGCAATAGTCTATCAACATCACAATAGTAGCATGCAATAGTCTATCAACATCACAATAGTAGCGTGCAATAGTCTATCAACATCACAATAGTAGAGTGCAATAGTCTATCAACATCACAATAGTAGCATGCAATAGTCTATCGACATTGCAATAGTAACTTGCAATAGTCAATCGACATAGTAATAGTAGCATGCAATAGTCTATCAACATCGCAATAGTAGCATGCAGTAGTCTATTGACATCGCAATAGTTCCTTAGAAGCAGATAGTATCTTTTTTGCAATATTCCAGCAATGCCATGGCTCATAATAACAGAAATGTTCTTAAAACATTTTCATGTGATTAATCGAACAAGGGTCCTAAGCGTGACGAGCGAACTCTTCTTCCAGCAGACTTCCTTAACACTCCCTTTGAAATACATTACATATAGTAAATAATAAAAAAAACATATAGTACATTTTTCATGAAACACAGTGGATTAAAGCAATTCAATATAGCTTGTTTCCTTTACATCAGATACCAATCACGAGAGATCAACAATGGCCCAGTGAGCAGTGGATCCTTATTCTCTGACGTGTACGATTGTACGATTGTCTGAACAGCAGATAAGCAATACAACCTGATTAACGTGAAAACCGGTTCTACTTTTCTTTCAGTTTGAAGAAGTAAATAATTAATGCTGATTTTGTCAGGTAAATGGGCTTGTTTTTGTTTTTTAAATTCCATAAAATTATTGTGTGGGAGACGGACGATAAGGTTTTAAGATTGTGGTTGCTTTCTAGTGGAATACACTTAGAGCAATCTAGATCTACGCAGCTAGGTCAACGAGTCTGACCACCCGATCCTGATAACTCTAACGTATGTCAATAAGCAATATAAAAAGTATAGAATATTTTTAGGTTCTTTTCGTGCCTTCATATATACATCCAGCTGAAACCGGTTCTATATTTCTTTCTGTTTTAAGAAGTAAATAATTAATGTTGATTTTGTTTCAGCTAAAATTGCTTGTTTTTCAAAAATTCCATGAAATTAGAGTATGGAAGACGATAAGGTTTTAAGATTGTGGTGGCTTTCTAATGGAGTACTCTTATGGCAATTGATCCTTGTCGGTATATGCCCACTGTATCTGTACCTGAGTTCGCTGTGTAGAGATGCTGTGCGTTCTCAGCATCATGTGTTAAACAAGAAACAAACAAACAAAACATATGTTTTATTCAATTGACAGCCGCCTTCAACCTGCGTCATTAATTCCGTCTACCCTGACAATATTCGGAAAAAAACATCGGATAAACGATGTTTGACAGTACAGTTTAGACACTACAATTATCATCAACTATTTCACCGCATGCACATTTTATACATCTGGGGTTAAATTTAATTGGGAAAATATAGCCCCTTTTCTCTTTTCCACCAATGCAGTTAGTAGTTGTTTGTTTGTTGTTTAACGCCGAGTCTGGATCAGACAATCCAGTGTTCAACAGCTTGACAGCTTGAGTATCGATCTACGCAACTCGGATACGATGTGTCAACCAAGTCAGGAACCTGACCACCAAATCCCTCTAGTCCCCTCATGACAAGCATTGGTTGCTGAAGACCAATTCATTGCCAGACAGTTTCGAAACGCACTCGAAAAACACAAAAGAGCCTAATTTGGCAGCTAGCAAACCCGGAGGTAGACCTAATATTAACTTTTGTAAAGAAATCTAAACAACCAACCTATTTTCCAACAAGAATATTATGACATATTTGAGGAGTATTTAGAAATTATTTAAGTCTGTGTTTACAGATGGATGCACTGATATTGGCACAGTTACTAGTGTCACTACCGCTACCATTGGATCCTGGACAATATCTTCACGATTACCAAATCATATACAGTTTCATTTTAAGTGAGTGAGTGAGTTTTACGCCGCTTTTAGCAATATTCCAGCAAGATCACGGCGGGGGCACCAGAAATGGGCTTCACACATTGTACCCATGGGGAATCGAACCCGGGTCTTCGTCGTGACGAGCGAACGCTTTAACCACTAGGCTACCCCACCACCCCGGTTCCATTTTTAATGCTTAAGCAAATGCCTTATAAAGTATATAAATAAGCAGTCTGAATATAAACAGTTTATGTTATGTCCAGAATATTTTCGAGAATTCATATACTATCCACACAAAAAAAGAAACGCATGGACGATTTATATTTCAAAACATCTAATAATTACCTATTGTGTTCAAACAATCGTCAAAATATGTAACAAAAGTATTGATAACATGATTTTTCACAATTTCACAAGTAAAAAATCGACTTTACCTGAA